CCGCAACCCAGGCACATGCCCCCGACCGGAATCGAACCCGGGACCCTCCAGTCCGCAGGCCGACGCTCTATCCACTGAGCCAAACCGGTTTTGGCTCCTCTTTACTTCTTAAGAATATTTTTTTAGAGAGGGAGGAGGGGCAGGGAGAGAGAGAGAAACATAGATGTGAGAGCGCAACATTCATTGACTGCCTTCTGATCCTGAGCCTGCAACCTTTAACTGGGAATCAAACCAGCAACCTTTCGGTGCACGGGATGACACCCAACCCACTGAGCCACCCCAGCCAGGGCCCCTTTACCTTCTATCGAAGGAAGGGCGAAAATGCAACCAACCCTGATTTTTGAACCAACACTGGGTGTAAAAGTTAAGACACACTCTCCCTATTTCTTGCTTACCTTGCTGCTCTGAGGACCCTTACTAGAGTCACATTGGGACGAAGAGCATACGGAATCCTGACTTGTCTTCCTGTAAGGAGAGAGAGGAAGCCCAAAGAGGAAACATTAAGATTCTTTCCTACTCAACGGGTGCTCTTCTCTGCTTTGATTTCAGTCCATTCTCTGATACTTCTTTCATCCTCTGTAGACACTGAGCCGCTCACGTATAAAACAAAGCACATCCCATATCTTGTGTCACAAATGCTCATCTGCCTGGTGTTGGTGGAGGCTATTGGGGAACCTCAGGGATTCAGGCTCATTGCTGCCTGGTCTGGGAACGAAACAGTTGTCTGTCCCAGGCCTCAGGCTAGATGCAGTCCCAAAGGTTCTGACACGGTGTCTAGTGGTGGGAGTGGGTGGGGGTAAGAGTGGGACCCTGAGTAGCCTGGTTAACTTCTGCTCTACAGTTTCCGGTTCTGGCCTGGTCCACTCTGTGACACTGCTGGAATGGGCTGAACAGTGCCTTGGGGTCTGGTGCAAGTATATCCACAGCAAGGCCTCAAAATATTCTCAGAATAAGGAATTCCAAGCCAACAGAATATATTCTGGCTCACCTCTGGATGACCCAAAACTCGCATAGAAACACTTTTTTTAAAAATATTTTTTTTTATTGATTTCAGAGAGGAAGGGAGAGAGAGATAGAAACATCAATGATGAGAATCATTGATTGGCTGCTTCCTGCACGTCCCTACTGGGGATTGAGCCCGAAACCTGGGCATGCGTCCTGACCTCCTGGTTCATAGGTCAATGCTCAACCACTGAGCCAAACTGGTCAGGCTAGCATAGAAACTGTTGACTTCTCTTCAGAGAGGTGTTTACCATGGCCTACAGATGGAAAACCAGACCATAAAGCAAATATAAAGAGAAAAATACTTTCTCTTCAATATTTAAATAATGATCTCTCGCTCTCTCTCGTAAATGGATGATGATTGCTCAGTTTTATTGGAGGCCATATGAGACCTGCTGCCATTTGATCTGTCTGCGTCACATCCATGCTCACAGAGTTTAATTTTGGCTACAAGTGTGGTTAAGGGAGCATTTGCTACTGTTGTAAAGGGTGCTGTGGGTCTGACCGAGTGAAGGAAATTACATTCCCACACAGCAAATTGGGTCCCCGGGGACCATCCACTACAAAAGCCAGTGACGGGGAAGAAAGCTGAAACCAGGTAGTCTACCCAATTTGCCTTCCCTCACGTGTACCTTCCTTAAGGCTGGGATGGGGAGAACTCTTTGGATGTCACCCACGTAAGACTCAGACAGCATTTCTCTATCAGTGAGTACCAAGTTACCTTGCACACTCAAGGGTACGAAAGAGGAACGTGATGTCGTTAACTCTATAGCGTTTGGGATCCAAGTCCGGATTGACAGTGAAGCAATCTTCAGGTCTGTACCTGGAAAGAAACATACGTGTACATGATAAACATGTAAGAATTAGGTAACTTACATGCCTTACATTACAAATCCCACGCAGAGCTCACCAACTCCTAAAATGTTGATCTCGAACATGAATAGAAAATCCAGAGGTATAGCATTTGAACATATCTTTTTTTTAATAAGGCTCTATGTAGCGACACAAACATTGAGTGTGTAAAAGTCCTTTAATTCAAGTGGCTGGTCTATTCTTCCTACTTGTAGGTCAGAGAGTGGGCTTCTGTAATATCCTGGAAGTTTCATAGGATTTAAAGGTTCGAATTCTAGCCCTAGCAGGTTTTGCTCAGTGGATAGAGCGTCAGCTTGCAGACTGAAGGGTCCCAGGTTCATTTCCGGTCAAGGGCACGTACCTTGGTTGCCAGCACCTCCCTCGCCTGGGTCCTGGTCAGGGCACGTGCAGGAGGAAACCAATCAATGTGTTTTTCTCACATCCGATATTTCTCTCTGTCTCTCCCTCTCTCTTCCACTCTCTCTAAAAAAAAAAAAAAAAAATAAATGGAAAAATATCCTTGGGGGGGGATTAA